GCAACATCCAGTATTGTGTGGCTTGACAGTGAAATGAAAAGTAAGTTCTTTATATTCCCTGACAATCATAAAGATTAAATTTAAAAGATTTGTTTTGGTATGAGATGTTTAGATCTCTATATCCTGCTTATTACTAAGGGGAAGTTTCATTTATACAGTTTGGACTCCCATGAACTTTTGCATACCACTTGGTATATTTTTATTTACCTTAAAGTAGCATTCTTGCATTTTTCTTCCTGTCTAGAACAAAATCTGAATTATGTGATAAGACACTCTTAGGAATTTGGAGAGTGTGTTGGACTGTATCTTCTCTTCCTCCGCAGCCGCCTTGTGCTTAGGAGGCCTTGTGATAAGTGAAGAGCCTGTGCCCCAGCCCCCACTCTGCCCTTTACCTGCAGGTGACCCCACATACCTTCAGCTTGTCTGAGCTTCAGGGCCCTCCCTCTGTGAGTTGAGAGATAACAGTACCTGCAGAATCAGCATTATTGGGAGGATTAATAACGTATTCATATGTGTGATGCACTTAGAGCAGTGTCTGCCACTATTCACTTGATATCTAGGACTGTATAAGGTATAATATGCATGCCTTTTATATTCTCAATTTATCATTTCTTTTTACTTGCAGTCTTTTGGTTCCTATAATAAAAGGAAGTGTGTAGAATACGTTTGTATATTTATGTCAACACAGTATTTAAAATAATTGCTATCACCCTCATTTAATTCAGCATAAGACTAACAGATGGAATTTTCTAAATTGCCTAAAGAAAGATATTTTGCAAAATACTAACTTGCTCTATATTTCTTTAGAGAAAGTTGAGTAATGTTGATAAGTTCTGGTCATATTTCATTCTTAAGTCTTAAATCAGTCTCTTACTGTAGATTCATGACAGCTAATTAGTACTGATTTGGAGGTTTCTTTTCCCATTGTTTGGAATTATGATTCCCATTGTCTGGAATCAGATGCAAACTATTGCAATTAGAAATAAAATATGAAATAACTTTCAATGTCATATGAAGTTGTTTTTAAACTGTCTATGATGTTTTAAACTAAACTATTCATGATCATTCTTTTTTTTTAACATCATTAAAATTTTGATTTAAAAAAATCTGTGATGTATGAGGGAAATATATACATTACCTGTTTTTTTATTTCTGTGTTTTTGGTTGTTTGAATGAATCCATTTGGTCAGACTCCAGATACAGGATTTTCTGGGCAAGTGAATTTGTTACAAACCTCTACTGAAGACATTGTCTAACCTTAGGTCAGTTGTCAAGAATGATCTCAAATTCCCAGAATCCCATTCACTGGACCTTATTTTATAGGTCCAGTGACATAGGTGCAGAGACATAGGTGAAGTAGATATTTATTCTCTGGTCAACATTCTCAGTTTTATAAAGCCAGTCTTTTCTGTTACAATCTAGGCTTTGTTTGGTTCACAACCTGATGGAAGATTAAAAAGTGAAGACAAAATCTGAGTAAGGTCTCATTGCTGATTTGATCCACCAGACTCAGATATAGAATTAGTTGACTTTTTGCAAATTCGATAGTTTAGTACATATTTATGATTTAAATATCTCGTAGAAATCTGAGAAGAATCGAGACTTTATTAACTTGACAGTTTACCTTCCAAAAGCAAATGTAGAAACTGACAATTTTCTTTTAAAAAGCAAGTTTAAAAGTGTCTCTAATGTGCAATAAAATGATTAATCTTGTTAAATTCCATCCTTGAGTACACATCTTTTTAATAGTTAATAGGTAAGTGTGCTGTGAAGTACAATAGTTGTCTCAGGGAAAAACTGGTTATTGAGTTGCAAACTGAACCAGCCATCATTTTTCATGGAATACCATTTTTACTTAAACAACTAACAAACTGGTTATTGAAACTTGGGTTCATGGTCAGCATTTTCTCGAAAATGAAAGAAATGACCCTGTCACTTCAAGGAAAACACAGCATTTGTGGGAGGTGATAAAATTTGAGTTTTAAGTGAAAAAGTTGGGGAAAATTGGTAACTGCCACCATTAGCTCGACAGCTTCACAGTAAAGAGGTCAGTGGTGGTAGTAATGGATGTGACTTTAATATTATAGAATGAAATGTGTTGACATTTGGAAGATTGTAGCAGAATCAAGCAGTATTTTCTAAATGATTGTATTTTAGTGTACTAGTATGAAAAATCGGTGTCAGATTCTGCATTGCAACTAACTTGAAGTTACCATTTGTCAAGATTGGGTGTAGTATCAAGAACATACTTACCTGGAAAGCATTAAACTATTTCTCTCTTTTCCAAGGACATAGAGGCTAGATTTTCTTCGTGTGTTTTAACAACCTACTGTAATACATTGAATACAAAAGCAGATATGAGACTCAATTTTCAGTTAAGCCGGACAATAAAGAGATGTTATTTATGTTAAAATTTAGGTTTATTGTTAAAAGGAACAAATCTAAAATTTTTCTAACATAAGTATTCCCCCAAGTGAGCTTACTTCAAAGAAAACTGACAGTGTTGTAATATTAACACGGGCGCTTTCAGGTAAAAACAGTTTTGGAAAATATCCACCAGCATCAGCAGATAGAGAAGTTCTTTGGGATTCTTAATTTTAGGTGTAAAGTAGGAATTAGTCAGGTTTTACTAAAGGACCAAAAAAAATTTTTTAAGTTTTGTAGACTCTATGATCTGTGTTACAACTAAGCTCTGCGGGTGTTTCACAAAAGCAGCCTGAGACAAGATGTAAAAAAGTAACTGGTTATATTCCAGTAAAACTTTATTAAAAGTAAAAGTGGGCTACATTTGGCCCATGGGCTGTAGTTTGCCAACCCCTACTGTAAAGGGGCTCTGAGGCAAAAAAAAAAATTGAGAACTGCTAACATACTAGGTGGTTTAACTGCTAACATTAGGCTAACATACTAGGTGGTTTAACAGATTTCAAGGTGTTCGAGGAATTCCCTGGTGGTCCAATGGTTAAGACTCCATCCTTCCACTGTAAGAAGAAGAAGAAGAAAAAAAAAACAGCTCCGGTGCCCTAATTAACTTGTTTTAATCTTATTGGGTTAGGAACACTTTTCATTACAGCCAAGGGACCAGCCCCAGCTCGCCCACTTTCCTGCCCATTTGTATCTAAACTCCTGGCTATCACCATAGTTGCACCCTACACCCAGCACACCTTTGGGAGTGTTAGGAAAACGTTCATCACATTTTTGTGCCAACAGAGGTACTCTCCAAGCTTATCACTAAGAACCCAGCTGTAAGTTACTGAGGGTTTCAACTTGTCAGGGTTTTGTGTTTTGTATAATTGACATACTATAAACTACACCCATTTAAAATGTACAGAGGTTTTTTGTACACTTCAAAGAGGCAACCATCACCATAATGTAATTGTAGAACGTTTTCATCATCATCACATACCCCCCCCCCATTCCACCCCACTCCCATTCAGCTCTGTTGCTCTTTTTTAAATCATGCATTTTTCCCCGAGGGGTGGAAGTTAAAATCTGGGGGCTGGTCACCATCCAGCAGTGAACGCTGCAGCAGAGATGTTCTTACAGAGATTTGTCTAGTAGTACTAGTGTTTGTTAGTTGCTCTGCTGCTGCTGCTGCTAAGTCGCTTAAGTCATGTCTGACTCTCTGCGACCCCATAGACGGCAGCCCACCAGGCTCCCCCATCCCTGGGATTCTCCAGGCAAGAACCCTGGAGTGGTTGCCATTTCCTTCTCCAATGCATGAAAGTGAAAAGTGAAAGTGAAGTCGCTCAGTCGTGTCAGACTGTTAGCAACCCCATGGACTGTAGCCTACCAGGCTCCTCTGTCCATGGGATTTTCCAGGCAAGAGTACTGGAGTGGGGTGCCATTGTGTCTCTGGTTAGTCGCTCAGTCTTGTCCAACTCTGCGACCCCACAGACTACTGTAGCCCGCCAGGCTCCTCCTTCCTTGGGATTCTCCAGGCAAGAATACTGGAGTGGGTTGCCATTCCCTACTCCAGAGGATATTCCCAAGGATCGAACCTGGGTCCTCCTGCGTTGCAGGCAGACACTGTTACAGGTACTTGTGTGCATTATTTGTGCTCCTGTAAGGAAGGAACCACTGAGTAGTCCTCAAGTGGAGTCAACAGGGAGTAGGGGCACAGTTGGAAGGGAGACTACATACCTCTGCTCTTCCTTGAAGGTTCACCCAGCTGTCGTCTCGGAGTCTCCTCTGGTTGGCTGCAAGTCTGCAGTGAGGGAGGACCTAGCTCCTGCCGCCCCTGCACGCCTGTGCTTGAAGGGAGACGTCTGCACACATGGCACGGGCCCAAGTGGCACCTGCCCGAGGCCCTGCTAGGACCTGTTGCCAGAGCTGCAGCTCTAAGTATGTGGTTGCCTAGTGTGTGTGAACTTAATGTGAGCTGTGTGAGGATTTGAATGCATGGTGTGTGAGAACGTGTGCTTGCTGGGTGGGCAGGTGTGTGTGCACTGTTTGCAAACTGAGTGAGGATGTGAGTGCATGCTGCGAGAAACTGCATTCCCTGTGTATAACACTGAGTGTGTACACTGTGTGAGGATGTGTGTTTACACTGGGATGTGTACGCTGCCTGCTGTGTGTAAGCACTGTATGGGGAACGGTGTCCATGCAGTGTGTTCTTTCACGCTGTGAAGACCAGTGTACACCTCGAACGTGCACGCAGTGTGTGGGAGCTCTGTGAGAACCAGTGTGCACATTGCATGTGCATGCCGTGTAGGCGTGATGCGTGAGAGTGGCTGTGCATATTGCTAAGTGCATGAGGTACGCGCCTGCTGCGTGAGGACCCGTGTGCACCTCGTGTGTGGACGCGGTACGCATGCGCAGCTTGAGAACCCGTGCGCACATCGCACATGCACGTGGTGGGGGGGGACGCACGCGGGTTCCACAGCGCCGCGGCAGGGGCAGTGCGCCTGTGCAGCCTCGGCATCCCGATGGAGCACAGCGTCGGCTGCGCGGCGGCAGCCGGGACGGAGGGGGCTACGCGGGCCCCTCCGCTTCCTGGGAAGATGGCCGAACCGGGGGCGGTGAGGATCTCACCGCCCAACCACCGGCCTTCAGGTAGGGGGTTCTCGGGCTGAGGCGGGCGCGTGGGCGCCTCAGGCCCCCGAGGGGGGCGGGGCGGGCCCGCCAGCAGAGGCTGTGGAGAGCACGGTGTGGGAGGCGGGGCGCGGAGCGGGGCTCACATCCTCTGCTCTGCCCGGAGTCGTCTGGGTGCGGGGTCCCAGGGCCGCGCCCCTCACAGCGCCGCTGACAGGGACACCCCCTCTCAGGTGACCTGAGTGAGTGGGTGCCATTGGGGGTGGCTCAGGGTGGGTGACAGGTGTGCTTGGTTTGAGGGGTGGAGGCAGAGGCCATGCGTGATGCCCTAGGGGCCCCGAGTGTCTGGCCCAGTCTCCTGGAGCAGCCGGCATGGGGGGCACCGGGCTCGGCCGAGCCGGCGCCGGGGGTCGCCGGGGCCTGCGCGCCCGCCCACTCTGCGTCTCGGGCATCGAGCGCGAGCGGCAGCCCAGCTTGGTGCTTCGCGGCTCCCCGGGGGGCCGAACCCGCGCGTCACCCGCCGGCGGAGCAGCCAGGTGCGAGCCCCCAGCCCGGTTCCCCTGCCGCCCGCTCGCGCTCACGGAGGCCGCGGGTACACTGCCCCGGGGTCTGACGGGGCCGCGCGGCGGATGAGCCCCCGGCCCTCGGGGCTGCAGCTGCTGGGAGCTGAGGAGGCACGGTCCCCGTATTGGCTGCCCACAAACGAGCGAAGCGGGCAGAGATTTTGAGGACATTTGACGGAATTTTCGATAAGCTAGTCTCGCGTCTTTTAACGTTCTGTAAAGTTGCAGGTAGTGCGGAGGTGTAAGCGACGTGGAAACCGATTTCGTGTTTTTCCTGACAACATCTTTTTTTTTTTTTCAAGTTAATGGGAGCTATTTTTAAGACGTGTGTTTACCGCAGTATAGCATGCTTCCCATAAAAACGCACCGATCTTAAGTAGAGGATTTGGAGATTTATCACATCGTGAAGATCTGCGTGTTTTATGTAAGGTGTACCAAGGAAGGGAAGGAAATCAAGGGAAATGTTATTGAATCACTTAAAACAAGATTTTCATGGGGGAAGTGGTATTTTTTTTTATTGGGCCTTCATTTGTATCATTTAGAGAAGGAGGGGGTGGCTTGAATCTTTCCCGGTTTGCGTTTTTCATCATGCATATTTTGAAAGGCAGAATTTAACAGTTATCACAGGATTGTGATATAAATACTATAAACACGTACTTCTGTTTTCGTCTTTTTTGCTTGAGAAACTCGGTCGCATCTGCTAGGAAAGAACCCAAAACCTACCCATCCGTTAGAACCAGGTTGGGGGAGGGGAACCTAATAGAATAAAACATTGGGAAAGGAAGGTTGTTAAAATTCACATTTTAATTCGGCCGAGAGTTTAAATAACTAGGTAGTTTTGATGTTGTAGAGTCAAGGTGGAGCTGTATGGTTGGGCCTGAAATTTATCTGTGGTATTTTATTTTATTTGAAGGCACTTAATAAGAGAAATCCCATGGACAGAGGAGCCTAGCGGGCTACAGTCCATGGAGTCGCAAAGAGTCGGACACGACCTCGCGACTAAACAACAACAACAAATAAGGGTACCATTCTTATTAAGTTCTAGTTGAAAACTTTTATTGTGAAAAATAGCTTAAAGTTATATTCCTTCATTTGACAACAAAAATACGGAAAGACACGTTCTGTGAATGTTTAAAATATTTCAGGGACTTCCCAGGCGGTCCAGAGTTTAAGACTCCTCCCTTCCATTGCAGAGGGGAGGAGTTTGATCCCTGGTCAGGGAACTAAGATCCTGCAAGCCACCCGATGCGGCCCCAAACAAAAGACTTTTAAAAAGATAAAATATTTAATAAACTTCCATGTACATTAGGGTTGGTGTGGAAAAATTGGAGTATTCAATTTAGGTGTCAGGTAGTAGAAGGGTTTGCTCTTTTAAAGCAGGTTTTGTGAGGCTAGGTATTTTGAAAAATAATGTCATCCTCAGAGGAGTCTTGATGATTGAGGTTTTTATGATTATCCATCCTGATAGTGATTATTCTTGGCCATCCAAGGCTTTATCATTGGGGACCTCTTCCTGAAGAGATTCAACCTGCATTTCTTGAGGGTCAACCATTGTTCCTAAGTTTGTGCTGAGTGCTTTGAGGGCCAGAAAAGACAAATTCCAGAGATGTTTAGGCTCTCAAACAATTTCATAGTGGGGAGGTATGGGCCGGCAAGTGGTTTTCCTGGGAGAAGTTCTCATGGGAATACCTTTCTGGTTGTTTCTTTTAGCAGCAGGTTCTTCTGATATTGAAATCATGTGCATTTTTCCCTATTATCCCCCAGTGATTGATGCTTTCTTTCTTTCCCTTTACCTACACCCTTGGATGGAAATTACCAGAGTACTGTTCTCTTTAGTGCTTTTGTTATGTGCATGATATAAGGAATGAGGTGCAAGCACCTGTTGCTTGAATCTGCTTAAGTACCTTTAGAAGGCAGGAAGAGGACTGTCACCAGAGTCTGTCAGACTGCCTTGGTGTCACACAGGTCCTCTGCTCCCCTCAGTCTGAAATGCGTCCTTTTCCACTTTTCCCATTGGCATTCACTTCCTCTAGGCCCCTCACAGTCTGAATTAAGTAACTTCATCTTTTTTTGTGCCTGTAACATCTGCAGGAAAGCACTCTTCTTATTCTGCCCATGTGATGACATTAACCTTCCAGCTCCTCTCGGCAGATGTTCTTTGGGTGCCCACTGTGAACAGAGTCCTGACTGCCTGGGTGTGAATGCCATATCTCCTCTTCCTGCTTTCTCACCTGCAGAGACATTGTTGAGCTTCAGTTTTCTCACCTTTAAAATGGGTGTAAGAACACTGTGGTGGGGGGAAGGAATAGAAGCACTGCTTTGAAGGTGAAGGAATTAGTAGCTGTAAAGCAGTGCTTGACACAGTAAATGCTCGAGCTAGTCATACAGTGTCCCTTCTATTAGATGATCAGCTTGAGAGTAAGGCCTGGGTCCAGGTTACAGGTACCTCCCACAGTGCCACCTGGTGCAGAGAGTGGCTCTATGGTCATCCTACTCATCCTCAAAGTTTTTGCACACAGTAGGTCTGTAATTGATGTTCAACAATTGCATTAGTCTGGGAGCAGCTCCACTGGGTTGAGTAAATACTCACAAGTCGGATTAAAGGAGTATGTCAGTGAAGGAGATTGGTATAGTGGAATTACAGAACATGTTGAGCTTTCCAGTGCTTTCTGCAGGTAAATACTGTTTCCTAAGTTGAATTCATTTGCCCATAGTTCCCTGGTCGGAAGGGAATTGCTTTGAGGTGAGAGTCCCTTGGACAGCAAGGAGATCCAACCATTCCAGACTAAAGGAAATTAGTCCTGAATATTCATTGGAAGGACTGATGTTGAAGCTGAAACTTCAATACTTTGGCCACCTGATGCGAAGAACTGACTCACTAGAAAAGACCCAGGTGCTGGGAAAGAGTGAAGGCGGGAGGAGAAGGGGATGACAGAGGATGAGATGGTAGGATGGCATCACTGACTCAATGGACGAGTTTGAGTAAGCTCCGGGAATTGGTGATGAACAGGGAAGCCTGGTGTGCTGCAGTCCATGGGGTCACAAAGAGTTGGACACGACTGAGCAACTGAACTGAACTGAGATGAAGTTCCCTGCTCACCTCCCACCCAGATGAGGAGAATGGAAGGGTGCAAACTGGAAGTTCAGGAGAGACTCCCCTGGGGGCCACAGTAGGGTGGGACCAAGTTTGAAAGTTTGAGAGTCTGGCCCCAAGAAATTCAGAGTTCTTCATCCTCTCTCAAAGTTGCATTTGAAACTTTTTTTTAAAAATTGTCCAGCCATGCAGCTTGTGGGATCTTAGTTCCCCAGCCAGGGATTGAACCCCTTGGTAATGAAATCACAGAGCCCTAACCACTGGACCCACGGGGAATTCCCTATAACCATTCTTGACCACTCTAATACTAAAATTGTTTGAACCTAAGAGGAATGAGTTGAGCTTGTGCACGTGTTCTAACATCATGAGTCCCTTTGGCCTTGAGAAAGACTTTCCCACCCCCCTAGGTCAGGAGACAAAGAGACAAAGTTGCATTTTGTCTGGGACTTCTGGCTTTGTTGGGTGACAGCACTGATGGACTCAGACTTGGGAGAACCTTCAGGGCAAACTCCTGAAAGCCTGTCTGACTATAAACTGTTTATTTTTTTGATGTCCTGAACCTGGTGACACAGCTAGTCAAAGTCTTTCATTTCTGTCTCTAACCCCCTTTCCTCTCCAAAATTAAAGGATGTTTTCCTCTCATTCAGATGCCCCATCTTCTGGAATGGTTCATTTTTTGAAAGAACATTTTATCTTCTTTTTGAAAATTTATTTATTTTTAATTGAAGGATAATTCCTTTACAATATTGTGTTCATTTCTCCCATGTATCAACATGAATCAGCCATAGATATACATATGTCTCCTCCCTCTGGAACCTCTCTCCCACTCCTCTAGGTTGTCACAGAGTACCAGGTTGAGCTCCCTACATCATACGGCAAATTCCTATTGGCTATCTATTTTATGTATGTTAATATATATATTTCCATGCCTCTCTCTCAATTCGTCCCACCCTCTCCTTTCCCCACTGTGCTACAAGTCTGTTCTCTATGTCTGCATTTCCATTGCTGCCCATATAGGTTCATCAGTACCATCTTTCTAGATGCCACATATATGCATTAATATACAATATTTGTTTTTCTTTTTATGATGCCACTCTGTATAATAGGCTCTAGGTTCATCCACCTTATTAGAACTGATTCAAATGCATATTTTTTTATGGCCGAGTAATATTCCATTGTATATATGTACCACAACTTCTTTATCCATTCATCTGTTGACAGGCATCTAGGTTGCTTCCATGTCCTGGCTATTGTAAATAGTGCTGCAATGAACATTGGGGTACACGTGTCTTTTTCAGTTATGGTTTCCTCAGAGTATATGCCCAGTAATAGGATTGTTGGGTCATATGTTAGTTTTGGGCTTC